GTTTTGTTTGCATCAAGTCATTCTGATGCCTCACTCCAGGGCCTTTCCAAGGAGAGTTTTCGTGTATAAACTAGCTGAGTGACTACACTGAACTAAGAAGAGCAAATCAGGCACTGCTATTTACCTTGCAACCTGCCTTGAAGTTTTGTCAGTGTTACAGAGACAAAAGGAATGTCCAGAAAAGCAAAAAAGAAAAAAAATCATGGGGCTCATAGCATCCAGATAAAATGGTGGGCAGCTGTGATGGGTGCTGCAGGGAGAGCAGATGGGATAAGGACTTGAGTTTAGTTGATGACTGAGAGGTTATGGTGGTCATTGGCTGGTGTGGTTGCACCAGGAGGGGTAACTTTAAGGTCAAAGGTTGTCCAATAGAACATAATGAGGAAATAGAGGGCAGATAAGGTCCCCTCTGTAGAGCAGATTATCAAGGGTACAAGAGATCAAATATCCTCTGAAAGAGTGAACAATGGGAAGAAAGGTTTCTCTTTTAAGAAAAATGGCTCTAGCCAGGTGGTGGTGGCACATGCCTTTAATCCCAGCACTCTGGAGGCAGGGGCAAGTGTATTTCTGAGTTTGAGGCCAAACAGAGTGAATTCCAGGACAGCCAGGGCTGTACAGAGAAACTCTGCCTTGAGAAACTAAAAAAAAAAAAAGGAAGGGGGAGAAAATGATGGGCAGGTGTTAGTAGGGCTCTTTCATGGGACTTCTAGTCTGTCTTTTAGGAAGCCCACAGAGGATCCCAAAAAAGTTCTTTTCATACAGGACTGCAAAAGATTCATCTCCTTTCTACTCTTGCTGCACACAGGAGTGTTTGTGAGAAAATACGCTGAATATTGCAGTCCCCCAGGGGGAATGGCACGCGCACAACCCAAATTAAGTAAAAATTTATTGAGCTGTTCTTACCTAAGAAACAGCTGGATCCAGGAGTTCAAAAGATATTCTCAAGTGTCATCCCTCTCTCTCCTTGCTTTCACTCCCTCCAGCATGGCCACCAACAGCAGCCTCACATCTACCCAACTCTCCTTCATGAAAAACAAGCCAAGACATCAAAGGAAGGAACACTCTGGGCCGGAACACCAGGCACATGAGACTCTGTGGCAGGACAGAGATTGATGTGGTTAAGAACAAGAAAAAAAGCTGGGCTGAAGAAGAGAAGGGAGGGACTGGAGATGAAAACAAGAGCCAGGCCACAAGCAGCCCTGATATCCCCAGGGGAAACTGGAATGTTAGTCCAAAGAGAAAAACACTTATGATTTTAAATGGGAATGGTAATATGGGCTGATTTGCATGAAAGAATTGGGGAATGAGGTATCCGGAGAGGCGGCTTAGCAGTTAGGAACACTTGCCAGTCTTGCAAAGGACCTAGGCTCAGTTCCTGGCACTGGTCTGTTACTCCATTCCAAGAGATCCAATACCCTCTTCCGGCATCTGTGGGTACCAAGCACACATGTGGTATTCATATATGTGTGCAGAAAAAAATCATACACATAAAATACAAAAATAAAAAAAAATCACTCATGTACACCGTGCCTTTCAGCCTGGGGAGGGGATAAAATTGAAACATACCACACCCCAAGAATCATTTGGAAGTGGAGACTGTTTGGGGGGATGCCATTGACATTTAGAGGTCAGATGTTAGAGCTGGCAAACATTCTGAAATGTTCAAAACAACCCTGACAATGATTAATGAATGTCTAGTCATTACCTGCATGCTAATAGTATCTACAAAGTCACTTGCTGGGAAGTAGATTGAAGCCACAGGTTAGAGCAGGACTAGAACCTTCTGGGCAGGGATGAATGTGACTGGCCTGAGGTGGTGAGCAGCAGACATGATACACATTTAGAGGCTGAGGCCCCAGATCTTGCTGCTGGGTTTGGTGTGAAAAAACAAATGTACTAAAAAAAAAAGACAAGGTCTGGAACTGTGCCTTTGCAAACTGGGGTGGACAGTGGGACCTGTGACTGGGTTAGGAAATGCTGGTTTGTTCCATTTGACTTAGTTCAAATTCTCAAAGTTTTCTTGCTTAGCTGACACATATAATTACCTCATGACTTTCCAGGAGGCAATAAGGTCAGACAGTCCTGCAGGAGCTGGGCTGCACAGCTTGGCCTTCCTCTCTCTCTCTCTCTCTCCCCCCCCCCCCCCCGCGCGCGCGCGCGCGTGTGTGTGTGTGTGTGTGTGTGTGTGTGTGTGTGTGTGTGTGTTCTGTTTCTGTGATAAACACTGTGACCAAAAGAAACTTGGGAAGAACTGATTGATCTGGTTTACAAGTCCTGATTACTGTGGTTGAGGAAAGCAATGACAGAGCAAGAACTCAAGGTAGAAATGTACAGGCAGGAACTGAGGCAGAGGTCCTGGAGGAAATGCTAAACTAGTGGTAGAGATTGTGTCTGGATTACAGAATGTGAAGGGTTTTGCTTTAGTCAATGAGTATTTACTTCTATTTGCTAACCTTTCTATCCTCTCAAGCATTACTGTTTTGATTTTTGTTTGTTTGTGTGCTGCTGGTATTAGACACTGGGCCTGGTACATGCTAGGCAAGTGCTGAGCCACGGAGCTGTGTTGCCAACCCTCCTGTGCTACTTCTGAAGAAAAATAATTTTATTTTATTTTACTTTATTTTGTATGTCAGAAGCAGGGGTAGCCAACTCTGTTTTGTAAAGGGCTAGCCAGTAATACTTCCAGGTCATGGGCCACTTGGTCTCTGCCTCAGCCCTTCAGCTGTGTCACATTGGGAGGGAGATGGCATGGACAGAGCGTAATTGATGCGGACTGCTTCCAGTTAGAGCTGGTGTTAAAAATTAGCACAGAGGTGGCACTGGCCTTAGAGTGCTTTTCCAAAATGGCCCAAAATTAAAGAAAAAGGGGGTGGGTGAGGTTAGGAGAAAGATGCGTGGTCGGAGACTAGGGCAGGGCTCACACAGTATTGGGTGCTAGCTCCTGGAGTTCAGATGGTCAAACAAGGCAAAAGCTAGGATGTGCTATGTGGGCTGGTAAACTCCCCTAAATAAAGGCAGTGGGAGAGTGAGGGCAGGTGTACGGTATACGAGCCAGGTGCTGAAGACTGACCACAGGAAGGGAGAGACCCAGAGGGTCAGCAGACAGCAGTGAGAAGGACCCAGAAGATAGTCCAGGGACAAGACAGTCCCCTCTCAGACTCGTACTTCCTTCTAAGCCAATGTCGTCCCCCCCCTTCCTAACGCTGTGACCCTTTAATACAGCTCCTCCAGTTGTGGTGACGCCCAACCAGAAAAATATCTCAGGTGACCCGGTAAAAGGGCATCTGAGGGGCCGTTGAAAGCCGGTGCTCTAAATAAAACAAACTCACTGTCTCCTAACAGCACCACCGCCTGGTGTCTGGCCTTTATCAGATACCTTTGAGAGACACCGGGTCCAACCTATAACTGCATGTAAATTATTGATAAACAAGTACGTAATTAACTAACAGTCATAAAATATATTAGAAATGTGAAACAAACTATTCCAGAGCTAGAGATGTAGCATAGCGGGAGAATTGCCAGCTCAAGCAAGGCCCTGAGTTCTATCCTCAGTGCTGAAAACAAGCAAAAACTATTTTTACTGATGACTACATAATGGATAAGTTTTAATGTATAAATAAGATCTATGTTCCTTACCCTGCCATTATAGAATCTTACAACCCGACAGAATCTGCTTCAGTCTCCTTTCTATCCTATTTCTGGCACATACTGTACTTGAACAAAATTCAGCCAGGAGAGTCCTCTGAACACTTCCCCAAGGCAAGGCTTTGTCTCCATGCAAATTCCTGTGCCACACCCACCCTCCTCCCCCACCCACCAACACCATCCACTTAAATACGGTTCGGTTCCTAGACCAGCAGTTCTCAACGTGTGGGTCGAAACTCCTTTAGGGGTGGAGCAATCCTTTCATGGGGGTCATATATCAGATACCCTGCATTTCAGATACTTACATTACGCTTCATAACAGCAGCCAAATTACAGGTATGAAGTAGCCACAAAAATCAATTTGTCACCACATCATGAGGAAGTGTATTAAAGTTGCGGCGTTAGGAAGGTTGAGAATCACTGACATAGACCATCTTACATGCCCCCTCTTCCGAAAGCCTTCCCTAAATCCAACTGGAAAAGCTTCCTCCCTCTCTCTCTTTGGACCTGTTTGAGGGCACGGAACCCTTACAGAAGTTTTGTCTCCCTGTGTGCACACGCAGCAGCTGGTCTGGTCTGTTTTAATTCATCTTCCTATTATTTTCTACTTGTTCTTCTAAGATGTGGTCCTATACTTAGAAAGACTCCATGTTTTTAATTGCTGTAACTAACTGCAGTAAGATAACTCCTTCTGCCTCCACCTTCTGAAGGTTCTCACTGATGGTCAGACGGGTGTGCAGGGAAATTCTCTGTGTCACTGGCATTAGGCTGCCATTCTCATCCTCCCTCAATTACTCTGACCCTCGGGGACTCTTCTGTGTTCACCATAAGCCATTAGCCATGGCCACTCTCGTTCCCTACCCAGCTACTTCCAATGCCCTGCCCACTTCAGCCCATCTTCTCCATGTCGCCATCTTGTCTTCTCTACCTCTGCTTTCTTTCTAATTGTTACTGTTAGAATTCGTCAGTCACCCTCTGTTATCCACCCTCTGCTCTGAGTCACACCCTCACGGAGCAGATGTCTTTATTCTGGTCACAAAGGTTGCCTCACCTCACTCTGTCTTCATTTTTTTTTCTTTCTCTTTTCCCACCCACCTTTTGTCCATCTCTCATCGACTTTGATCAGCTCAACTTGTTTCTCAGCCTCGCCGTGCGTGCCAGTCCCTCCGACTCCACATTGTCCAATCTATTAGACACATCCTGGTTTCACTTCATTGTCTCTGGGCTCTATGTCCCCATCATTTGTTTCAGTGACACCCGCTCAAGCATGCTCTGCAGGTCTTGACCTTTCCTCTACTTTCCCTCCTCCCTGCTTCCAGCCTGAGCATCCCACTGAAGGGTTTTCCTACCTCTGTTATTGATGCACTGACCCGAGTTGCTCTGTGCTTCTAGACGAGGCCACAGGAAAGCTGTCAGCATTCTTTTCATCTCTTGTGACTGTCTCCCAGTCCCTTCAATGGCTGATCTGTTTGCCCCTCTCAAGTCCCCAATCACGTGTCTACGTCGCAACCCTCAAAAGATGAATAGCTCAGTTGCCAAATGAAGTATTATCAGCAAAGAATTTCCTCCAGTATATTTTCAAGTCACCCATTCTCACCTTCTTTGCAGCTCTGAGTAAGTCCTACCTGCCTCAGGTTACAGCGTCCACCTGCGCCTTCCCGGAATATAGTTGTGTATCTTGTAACAGAAGTAATGGTTCTTGAGGAGTGCATCATCAGGGACATTCCTTCTTTCTTTCCTTACTTCATTTCTTCCTTTCTTGGCAGTTTTGTAACTTTATCCGGCACTCTGTAGTCCTCACCCACATGGATGGTCTGTAGGTTTTTAATATGGTGATGGTGCTATAGCTTATAAAGTGGCTTAGTTAGAGTTTCCTTTGCTCAGATAAAACACCATGACCTAAAGCAGCATAAGGAGCGAAGGGTTTATTTTGCTTGTACTTCTGTATCACAGTCCCTCACTGAGGGAAGTCAGGGTAATAACGGCGGCAGGGCAGGAACCTGGAGAGAGGAACCGACATAGAGACCACAGAAGAGTGCTGCTGAATACCTGTTTTCTCTCTATGGCTTGCTCGGCCTACTTTCTATAGCTCTGAGGACCACCAGCCCAGAGATGGCTCTGCCCAAAGTCAGCCTGACCCTTCCCAATCAATCACAAATAAAGAAAATGCACCACAGGCTTGCCCACAAGCCAATCAAAATGGAGTCACCCAGGCTAACTTAAACTCTTCACCTACCTTGTATCAAGTTGAAATAAAACACAAAGTGTAGTGCTTGCTCAGTTAATCCTTTTCTTTGTTACGTCTTCTGGACAAACCTACATGGGTCAAGCAGGGAACATACTCAGATCCTTTGTTGAAGTTGGCACTAATGCACACATCTGAAGTCCCTCATTTCTTATCAGCAAATTTCTAGATTTCATGAGACCGGGGGGGTCTCTTTCTATGTATCCCTGGCTATCCTGGAACTCACTATGTAGACAAGCTGGCCTTGAATTCACAGAGGTCCTCCTGCCTCTGAGTGCTGGGATTAAAAACCAGCACACCTGGCTGGGGAAACATGTCTTGAAGCCCACTGTGTGGAATGGAGCACTTGTGAATGCTGGAAGTGTTTTTCTTGGGTTCCTACCTCATTGACGGCAGAAGGATCCTTCTTTATATCAGCATCCTTTTCTGCCAGGGCTATTCTACCAAGTCCAGATTGGAAAAGGAAGGGGATTTGTGGGGTTAACGTCACAGACATGATTTACACACAATTGCTCAGACATGTCTCTTGACACAGTCTAGAGACCTAGTAAACAGAAGCTGTGTGCAGCTGCAGCTGCTGGAACATGCCTACTGTTGGACAGTAAATTCCTGTAAGAAGCAGAAGGGCTGCGCTCTGGTGACAGAAGCATAGAGTCGTAAACACAGAAACTAACTCGTTTACTATCATTATCAAGGGCTAAGTATGGAACTGTTGCTGGAGCAGTCTTCTCTGACAGTCTGCTTAGCATCACCAGCAAAACATGACAGATGTGTTGCTATGATGCTCCAACTGTCGTCATGTCACTGGGTGATGAGAAATATTGTGTTCTGTTATCTTAAGGGGCCAGTGTCATATATGCTCCATAATTGACCACAGCATCTCTACAGCCTATCACTGTGATTTTCCTTCTCAATCTCCCTCCTCTCTGCTATTAGCCTCAGTCTTTGCACCTACTATAAACATTTTCAGAAAACCCTCAAAAGTTACTTTTTCCTTGACCAGTGGCCTGCATTTGCCTCAGGCCACTTCCACTACTTCTCTCCATGCTTTTAGAGGATAAAGTCTTTTTTTTTTTAATGCCTTTAAAAAACAAATTTTCTAAATGCTGCTGAACTGGCTAGTTTTGTGTCAACTTGACATGAGAGAAAAGGGAGCCCCAAATGAGAAAATGCCTCCATAATATCAGGCATTTTTCTTAATTAGTGATTGATGGGGGAAGGCCCACCCGTGGGCTGGTGGTCCTGGGGTCTATAAGAAATCAGACTAAGCAAGCCAGTAAGCAGCACCCTCCATGGCCTTCAATAGATATGTTGCATAATTTTTCCTACATTAAACGAATACTTTCTATGGCAGAATTCATAACTATAAACAATATTCCACAGTAATATCAACACAACTTGGTATTTTTTAATTATTTCTCTTTTATTTTATGTACATTAGTGTTTTTCCTACATGTAAATATGCCAGATCCTCTGAAACTGGAGTTACAGATAGTTGTGAGCTGCCATGTGGGTGCTGGGAATTGAACCTCTTTAGAAGAGCAGCCAGTGCTCTTAACCTCTGAGCCATCTCTCCAGCCCCTAACCCTGGATATTTATTACCAACTTTCCAAACAGATTTTTCTCACCAGCACAGCCAAAATATGAGTGTTCCCTTCCCACCTCGGGGATCCTTAACCATTACTTAAACTTGGCATTATTTTTCCCCTAAAGTGTCAACTTTTAACTGCCTTGATTATTTATATTACATCTCAAGCCACTTCCTTTGACACGTATTCACACCAACACAACAAGATTGCTCAGAGAAGGGGGAAGAGCTGACATTCTCATTGCTAAACCATTGGTGTGTTTCCTCTTTACGCTCTTTAGTCTCATGGTCTGTCTCCAACTGGGACATCCTTTTCTGTCTTTATCTCCTCTGCCACCCCTAGATTTTTTTTTTAATGTTTGGGTCTTTTTTTTAAGATTTATTTATTTATTTATTTATTTATTTATTTATTTATTTATTATGTATACAGTGTTCTGCCTGCATGTACAGCTGCACCAGAAGAGGGCACCAGATCTCATTATAGATGGTTGGGAGCCACCATGTGGGTGCTGGGAATTGAACTCAGGACCTCTGGAAGAGCAGCCAGTGCTCTTAACCTCTGAGCCATCTCTCCTGCCCCACCCCTAGATTTTTAACACACCTAAGACTCCCATCTTACTCTTCTCACCTATGCTTTTATTCTTAGTCTTACCGAATCCTGTAGATTTGATGCATCCAGTGGGCTTCATAAAAATTTCAGTCTTCTGCTTGGCGCTGGACCCTTTGTCAACCCCATGGCCCCTCTGCGTGTTGCTCTCCTCTTTACAGCCAGGCTTTAAAGACATGGTCTGCACATGGCCTGTTCAATGCCTCCATTCCCACGCAGCATTTCGCTACGGCCTGGTGTTTTCCCTCACCACTCTCTGAAGATCCTCTAAGGCAGCGGTTCTCAACCTTCCTGACGCTGTGACCCTTTATACAGCTCCTCATGTTATAGTGCCCCCCCCCAGCCACAAAATCACTTTGTTGCTACTTCGTAACTGTCATTTTGCAACTGCTAAGAATCATACTCTGAATGTCTGTGCTTTCCAATGGTCTTAAACGATCCCTGTGAAAAGGGTCATTTCTCCCCAGAGGGGTCGCTAACCACATCTTAAGAACTGCTGCTCTAAGGTCTGTCTCCAGGTGTCTCCTGGGCTCTGAAACCAGTGGATACATATAAATTCCTGGTTTTGGTCTAGTTCTCTATGGCAACTCACCTTCTGACCGCCCTTTTCTTTATAAGATCCATTCTCTCCTTACCTTTGGGCCTGGGCTTTCTCCTGTGGGCCTTTCATCCTGACAGTCTTTCACTAGCTCATCTTCCTCTGCTTTCCACTTAAACACAGCTTTTTCAGAGTCTCATCTCTGCTGCTGCTGACAGAGTCTATGTCCTAATCCCCATATGTTGCTTCTGCTCTTCTCTTTAAACTTCAGGTCCTTGTGGAGCTCCTGTCCTCTTCAGGTCATATTAACTCCCAAATATATCTCAGCACAGGGGTCTTTTATGAGACTGTTTATCCAACCAAGAACTATGTATGGATATAACCTAGAACCTCTGCTCGAATGTAGCCCATGATAGCTCAGTATCCAAGTGTGTACCCTAGTAAGGGGAACAGGGAATGTTTCTGACATGAACTCAATGTCTGGCTCTTTGACCTCCCCCCCACCCCGGGGTGGGGAGGAGCAGGCCTGCTAGGCCACAGAGGCAGACATGGCAGCCAGTCCTGAAGATACCTGATAAACCAGGGTCAGATGAAAGGGGAGGAGGTCCTCTGCTATCAGTGGGCTTGGAAAGGGGCAGGGAGGAGATGAGGGAGGGAGGGTGGGATTGGGAGGGAATGAGGAAGTGGGATACAGCTGGGATACAAAGTTAATAAACTGTAACAAATATTAAAAAAATTAAAACATTAAAAAAATAAATAAACTTCAGGTCCACATTATGTGTGGTGATGTGTGCCTATAATCCCAGCCCTCTGTAGGTAAGAACTAGTAGATCAAGAGTTTGAGGGCATCCTCTGTTTTATGGCGAGTTCCAGGCCAGCCCGGGACACATGAAATCGCACCACAAAACAAACAAACAAGGCTTCAGGTTCATAAAGCGAGCAGCAATTATAAATCCCCACATAGACCATTTAAGCATCCCTTGGGCCCTTTAAATTTAAGACGAAAACTGCAATCTTCACACCTCTCCCTTCCAACTCTGCTGGACTCCTGAGGTAGGCAAGTGTAGGAACAGGTTAGCATCCTGGGACTTCATTTGGCTTGAGCAATCAGCACAACCTCTTCCGAGCAATACACATAACAACCCGTGTGCAACTTGAACCCCCGCCTGCATCAGGCTGTGCAGATACTTACGTAAACAATGGAAATAATTCATTCCTTCTAGCAACCCCTTGAAAAGTTACTTCCTGATTCTATTCAGACAAGTCCTGGATCCTGAAACTATGTGGTAGATGGACAAGTAAGGTCAGCAATGCTTATTTGGGGTACGTGTACAATACAGCAAACTGTGTCCTCTGAATCGACTTTTAGGGTGAGTCTATTATCTCACGCCTATGTTTATACATTAACACTCATGTGATTAAAGCCGCATGCATCATGGGAAAGGGACATGCTCAGTAGAACTGCTTATATAACCCAAGTCTTTCAGCCAGGACAGAGAAACACCCCAGCCACACCCTTAGCAAGCAGCTTCTCCTTGTAGACAACATAAAGTCCCCAGACAGTAACCTGAACCCTTGAGGACTCTAACCCAGGGAGCCCCCTGATCACCTGCAGCACATCTGATCTACACTATAATTTTCCTTGATCTGAATAAATCTTCCTTGCCTCTAGGCAGCCTGTGTGTGCTTCTTCCGTCCTTTGGCTAAGGCGTCTAAAAGCCGTGCACGGCTGGTCCAGACAGCAACCCTCCATAGCACGTTGCCATTGGTAACAAAAGTCCTTGACACAGTCACAGACTCTCAGACAGTCTGGGTCATTCTCAACCTTTTCCCCCATGCCACCATGTTTGATTGTCCATGGGGACTTGGCTCTTCAAAAATAGCTCAAATCCATCCCTTCTGTCCCATGGTTATTTCCATCTCTGAGGTTTCCCTCACTCAGGACTGTATTAGCTAGAGTCCAGCCAGATTCAACAGACCCAGGGAGAGGCAGTGTAAGGAACCTCATTATCCAATTATGGGGCCTAGACATATGGTCCCCAGAAAGCTATCTCCATGCTGTGTGGTGGGGTCCGAGGTCCAGAATGGGCTTTGAGGAAAAGAGCTGCATCTGGAACAGAGGACTTGAGGGCAGACTGGAAGCCATGTGTGTGAGCCAAAGCTCACAGGCTAGACAGTGCCTGTGCCTGTCTCATTGGCCATAACCTTGGTGAGAAGGGTATCCTACAGATCCTGGGCCTTTCAAATTTAGAGGCCTATGCTAATCATCACAGCCGGTCCTCTGGTTCCGGCTTGCCCGTCAGTTTTGCTGGAGATGCATCAAGTGGCAGAATACTGTCTCAGCCTGTGCAAGGCCCCGAACTGGATCCCCAACACTACAGAAATAATGGGAAAAAAAATGTACATATATACATATGGAGATATTGTGGCTTAGGGGCAGAGCAATTGCCTAGAATGTCCCAGGTCCTGAGTTCTATTTCCAGTAACAAAACAAAAAGCTACTTACACTATTAGGGGCCTGGTTAGCCAAAATTTTTTTTTTTTTTTTAGTTCAGGCATCTTAATTCAAAGAAGAACACTTTCAAGATTATGTTGCTACTTGCCGAACATCCCAGTCAGATGCCCCCGGTACAAGGAGGTCATCACTAAGCGTGCCGGCCTGCTCTCACCAGGCAAGCTGTCTTTCATCCCTGACTGCTCGTTGGCAGTCCTGTGGTGACTGAGGTCTTCCGCAAGCCTCGGGAGCAAGGGGTTTCTCAGTTCTTACCATGGAATGGGCTGAAATTCAGACATTCATTTAAAAGGGTTTATGTTTGTGTATATGTGTGTGTGTGTGTGTGCGCGCGCACGAGCAAGTGAGGACACGTGTGCATTTGTGCCTGTGTATATGTGTGCACGTATGTACTATATGTGTGGGTGTGTATATGTGAGCGTGTACATGCGTTTTGTATGTATATGTGTGAGTGTGTTCGAATGTGCATATGTATGAATAAGAGTGTGTATGTGTGATTACATATGCATGTGAGTGCTGTGCTTGTGTGTGTGTGCATGTAAGTGTGTGTGTGTACATATGTTTTACATATATGTGTGCATGGGTGTGGATGCTATGTGAGCATGTGTGTCTTGTATGTGGATGTGTATGCAGGTGGCCATGCCTGTGCACATGAATGCAGAAGGAACCAGAAGAAGCCTCTATTGTGATCCACCTCACTCACACAAGACAGTGTGTCCCTCTGAGCCGGACCTTTACCTTTTTGGCTGGCCGGCCAGTGAGCTTCCAGGATCCTCCTGTCTCCCCTGCCCTCCCAGCTGGAGTCACAGGCATCTGCAGCCACGCCCAGCTTTCCGAGTGAGTGCTGAGGGCTTGAACTCAAATCTTCGTGGTTACGAACAAGCTGTCTGAGCCATCTCCCTGGACCCTAAAAAGCCTTGAAGGTTTGGGTTTGGATTCATAGATTCCTGGTTCTATTCTCTGAACCTGTAATATTGTTCTCGCTTGGAGGCTATGACCATAATATCCATCTGAACTCCCTAGGTCTTCATGGACTAACCCTATCGGTTCTTCAAAGTTCACATCAGACGCCAAGTCCTTCAAGAATCCCTGGTAATCCCCACCCAAGTCCCCCAGGTCTGAGCCAGGGCCTAAGCTTTACACTATCCGTGGTTAAACTCAAAAACTAAAATTTTTGCCTCCTAGGGCATGGGTTTGCTTTCTAAAGCTTAAAAAAAAAAAAGGACCTTATTATTATTATTTTGTGTGTAGAATGTGTGAGTTGCATGCCAGGGCACATGCCTGAAGGTCAGAGGGCAACTTTCAGAATCCGTTCTCCCTTCCCACCTTCGCTGGGTTGACCAGGTTCACGAGGCCTGTGCTTTGTTCACGGAGCCATCTTGCCAGTAGGATAAGCTGTTTAGTTCTTCATCCTCAGCACCTGCCACCATGCCTGTCACAAAAATGATGTTTCGCTCCGTTGGAGAAGAGCTTAGGACATTACTCACGTGAAGGGACAGCCTTTTTATCCCTCAGATCCAAGGAGCTTCACAGCCCCTCCCCGCCCTTGCATGAGAAAGGTTTTGTGTTTCCCGTGCTTGTAGCATTCCAGTGAAGCTCACGGCTGATGATTCACTCACTGCCACTGTGAATTCTGTCTTTACAATGTTGCTGGAGAACCTGTCACAGAGAAAGCATTCACATTGGAGATTACCTTTGACCCAGTTGCTCCCTTTGCGTCAGTTATACTATGACAATAATGAAGATAACTAAACAATTAAACAGATTTACCCACAGAGAATGTTAGCTGAAACAGTGCTTACCATAGTAAAAGAACACTAGAAACAATCTAAATGTCTCACAAAGAAAACTCTGGTTTGGAGAATTGCAGCAACTGTCCAAAAGTTTCCATGTAGTAATTAAAAATTAAACTATAAAAATGGGTTTATCTATATGTTAGTTATTCACAATCTACTATTGGCTTTTTTAATCAAGCTACAACACACAATTATAACATTATATTACCTATATATAAAACGGGCGTGGTATGTGCGCAGAAGAAAATCTCAGACAGTGAATAATTATTTACTAAGCAGTGTGGATTGTTTTCCACCAGCTTGCAGGTCTCCTGGGATTTCTAATAGGACACAAATCACCCTGGTGATGATCTTCTAATGGGAAGAAAAGTTTAATAACTGAGAGTGAACATTGTCTCAGCAGACCCACCTCTGTTATAAGCATTGATATTTTTGGACAAAGAGCAAAAAAGAACAAAAATCAATCAATTACTAATTAGACTTTACTGTTTTCACTAGGCATGCGCTGTCTGCATGGTCTCATGTAAATATGAATGTTGTCTATATTTTTAACTTAATTACTTTCTTAAATTACATTTTTGCTTATTTGTTTCATGCGCACAGGAGTCGGGGGAGATGTGTGCTCGTCAGAGTGCGGCAGTCAGTGGACAACACGTGATGGACAGTTCTCTCCCTCTGTGGTTGATTCTGGAGGTTACAGGCTGTCATACTTCGCAGCAAGCACCTTTATCCGTGGACCGTCTCACTAGCTTCTACATTCTTATTGATGAGCAAACTGATATCAGGAGAGAAAAAAAAAATACCTGTACCTGAAGTCACACAGCCAGTAACAGAGTCCATCCGACTGTAAGCTCTGGCTCGGTCCATCCCAACAGAGCATCCCTCCAGGTCCCCTCCTCCCACTCAGCACCCCACCACCCAGGCCAACGTCAGCACCAACATGGATCCCAGGGCCTGAGGTCACTGTCCTCAGATGTAAGCCCACCAGAGGCCAGTGATCCTTCCATCCAGGACACCAGATCAAAGCCATGTGGAGTTTATCCTGTATTAAAGGGCAGTTGTGTTTGTCTGAAGATTGACCCGCCAAGACCCATGATGGCCAAGAACAGCAAACACCAGGTACAACAGGCTGTGAGGCACACTAGGTTGGGGATGCTGGCGTTCCCTGACTCCGTGGTTGGATGCGCTCTTAGACGGATGTCTGCTTTCTCAGGATTTTCATTATATCACTTCAAAACAGTAAGCTTGGCCTGCCAACTCTGAGGGCCTGTCAAACCTTGTGATTATGATCAAATGTGGATCATA